ATTGTCAACAAAAACAAGACTACATTAGAACAATTTAAAAATGAATCAAAACAATTATTACTATTCAGGGATCTTAATTTATCTGACTTCAAATGTTTCTTTTAAAATTTAATCAAATAAAAACAAATTTATTTATATCAATCAAATTTAAGTAATGATGTTAAAAATTCGTCTTGTGATAATGTTAATTATGAAATTTTATTCTTATTTAAAACTTTTTGTTTAAATGATTTTAAAATATTTTAGCGGTTGCTAGCATTTCGACAATTCTTAGTTATTTTCTATTTTGAATTTCTTAATTTTCTCAGTAATTTTCTGTTTTAATTCTGACCTATATTTTATATATTTATATTATATACATTTGTATGTTACGGTTATGTAGAGTTTTTTTTTATGTAGAGTTTTTTTTTTTTTATATGTGGGGCTCGGCGATAAGGCAAAATGTGCCTTCTTCTTGCTCCTGCCATTAATTTTGATATATGCATATGCAATGTAAACATTCTTTAACGGCGAAATAAATTAAAAAAAAAAAAAATGCTAAGATAATGATAAATTGTAAAGCATTTGATGTGTTAAAATTATAAATAAAATAACATATTAGCAATTTGAGGAATATAATGTCTTAGTATAAAATAATCAAAATAACTTAACTTCCAATGCATTACACAGTTTATTATTAAAACAGAAACATCAATAGAACTTAGTCTAAATTTTATTGTTTGAGAGATTGTTAAATGTTGAAAACTTGACAAATCATTTAAGGATATACTCAGGACCGTCCTTTAGAGGGGGAAGTAGGGGTGTAATTCCTCATCTCCTCCCCCCCCCCTTCCTTAACCCACAAAAACATTATTTAAACCTTAGTCGGCAAATTTGGATCTTAGCTGACACATGTCAAACAATTACTCTCTTTTTTATTAATTGTTGGTAGGTAAAAAACAGATACGCCAACCCCTCCCCAACCTCGTAGGAACAACCGTGGATATACTAAATTATTAAAGTTACTTAATAATAATATCTTACCTTTTTAATGCACCAGCAATCATGTGAGCAAAAGCCTACCCTGAGTAGAACAAATAGCTTGTTATCATTGCCATCAACGTAAAAATTCTCTCTACAGAAATGTTTTCGAAAAAAAAATTAACTGCTCTATTACTGAAAATATTAGTAAAGATTATTTTTTTAACATTTTGCAAAGTTTTAAACCTAAACTGGCAATATTTAAAAAGAAATTTATGTCCTCTGAAATACGCCATTCTATTTTTATTTGTATCTTACTTATGCACCCAGAGCATCTGTCACTGCATTCCAGAAGTGTTAACTTTGTAGAACTTCATTTTCTCTGACACCTGCTTTCCTTCGTTGCTATCTCCTGATGAAAAGTTTACAAATAATTCTTAACCACAAGTTTAAATCTTTTCTAAATTTCGTAAGATTTAAAAGTTTAGGTATTTGTTAACCAATAAACAAATCTTTATTTTAGTCTATTCAAAAGTTTGATTATCCCTGTTCTTTGCTTTTAAAAAATTCACAATTTAATATGTAATAGTGTTAAAAATAAACTTCTTGTGGTCCTTTAGTGATATGTGCTTCATTCTTTTTTTTATCTTGGCTCCAGAGGCTTGTAGGAAGTCCATACTTTTGTTTTATAGTGGTCAGATCATCCTCTACTATACCACTCACAGAGAAAGCAGTAAAGTATGGTGTATGACAGTTGCATTTCCAACAAGATATAAATTACTTTAGGATCCTCACAAATATTTCTGTGAGGAAATTTTCGCCTTACCCCACAAGTAACAGAGATTTTCAGCGCTATTAACACATTTTCAAATCATTACTTACAGCACTTCATATGCACTACTCAAAAGTACCTGTCATTGAAATATAGGAAGATATGTTATCAGGATCTTTGATGACTCAGTAGGTAACTATTATGAATGCGATAACTCAACATCTCTAAAAAGAAGATATATCTTATGTTAAATAAAAAAATCCTTTTTTAAAGTGAAATTTAATATATCATAAAAACTAAAAGCAAATCATCATTTTTTTAATGTTATATTCTTTTTCTTTTTGCAGTAAAATTAGTTTTAACTGGCTGATTATGTATCGCATTTTAATATTAGCAACTTTTAAACTTAGGAAGATTCAAAACTGTCTTAAATTTTTTGTAATATTTAATTCGTAAAAAAAAGGAAGTTAACAACGTGTCAGTAGCTAAGAAGATGACAAATTTCAGTTTGATACAAATAAGAATTTTTAAAAAAAATTTGACAAAATCATAGACTGCAGTCTTTGTAAAACAAAACACAAAAAAATTTGGCAAGGAATTATCCTCATGTGATAGTGTGTCACATGACGATAATTCCTATCTACGACAGTTGTTGTAGCAAATTTCAGACTGTTCTTCTATAAACAAAAACTTCTGTTCTAGTCAGTTGTATGTTGATATGCAAATATGTTAGAAACATGTGCGAATTGCCCAAAGCCAAGCAAAGATTCAACACGATATAAGAAGTTTATTGCTGTCAGATATGTTAATAAGTAAGCGATCACAAGAATGTCTTTAGTCTGATAGATTGAGAAAGTTTGGGTGTTATATTTAACATTACAATTCGATTGTTTTTGGGTGTCATATTTAACATTACAATTCGATTGTTATTTTAAAAAGTAAATATATTGGTTTGTGAGTCATATAATTGTGAGCCTTACGTGTGTGATATTTGGAGTCTATGAAAAGCTAAATATTCTCTTGTTTTTTAAATAAATAATATTTTTTGAAATGAATGCACAAAACTATGTATAAACGATATTGTTTTAATTCTTCTAATTGTTTTAATTGTTCTAATTGTTTAATGGTTTTAATTTCCATGAAAGAAGATTTAAACCAATTAATTTAATTTTGTTATAAATAAAATTAAACTTAATCGTCTTTTTTTTATGATTTCAAAAAATTTATTATTACATTTTTTTTTATTGGCAATATTGAAATAAGCTAACCTCAAATTAGTTTGCTGGTCTAATGGACAAACTGATCTAGTTGTAAATAAAAGTACTTACTCTAATACTATCTATTAAATTTTTTAGCAAAAAGAAAAGTTATGATGGAACAAGATCGCTGCCACTCAACTAAATAAAATCGATGCTGATGAGCATACTAAGCTTAATATCATGTTTCAAATCGCGTGTTTTAACTGGCTTAGTTTTTTTTTTCCACGACGTTTGTATAAAATTTTTTTTGTGTACAGGTCCACAGGTTTTTTTCATTTTTTATATAAATTCAATATGTAGTGTTTTTTTTAATTAATTTTTTGCATAGAGATATTTATTGCTTTTTGCTATATTACAATAGTTGTAAACATCATGTTTACGATCAAACTTAGTGCTAAAAATTTGTTAAGGGTGAATTTGTCGAACAACTATTTCTGAATAAGCACTTTAAAAAAATTCCGCAAAGTAATCAACGATGTTTTTTCGTTCCACATCTCATTTTAAACCTTCTAGGGAAATTATAATAATTGCTCACAAGCATTTGCTCATAAGCATTTGCTCATAAGCATTTGTTCACAAGCATTTGCTCACAAGCATTTGCTCACAAGCATTTGCTCACAAGCATTTGCTCACAAGCATTTGCTCACAAGCATTTGCTCACAAACATTTGCTCACAAGCATTTAGTCACAAGCATTTGCTCACAAGCATTTGCTCACAAGCATTTGCTCACAAGCATTTGCTCACAAGCATTTGCTCAAAAGCGTTTGCTTACAAGCGTTTGCTCACAAGCATTTGCTCACAAGCATTTGCTTACAAGCATTTGCTCTGAGTAAAACTAAAAGCTAAAAATCAAATGCTCACGGAAAAAGCAATTACTCCAAAAAATCAGAGTAAAAGCACTTGCTCATTTTTATTCACCCGCCCTAAAGTTTTGCTTTTGCTTATAAGCAATCGCTTCTGCTATTATGCTTTATACTGCTACCAATAGAAATCGTTTGTTTTTAATTTTTTATTTTAATAGGGCTGCTTTAGTGTAAATCAGACTGACAATAATGGTAACCAAAATGCAGAACATTTAGTATCATTTGTATAAATCAAATATATTTGTATATTTCTTTCATCATATCTATTATCTGTGAATTAAAACTATTAATTCATGAAAATAAACCATATTGTTGTTTACAGTTACATATACCTTAAAAAGATCAACAATTAATACATAACATGCTAATGGTATCACCATACCACAGCTTATGATGCTGATCTATATTTGCTTATTTTATACTTGACAGCATCATCATCCTTATTCATCTTACTAATTTTATTGAAAGAAAAAATGGCTATTATTATCGTTAAATACAATGCAAAAATTATGCAAAAATTAAGCAAAAAAAAATTAAAAAATGCAAAATTTAGTTATAAAATAGTACGATATTATTGCAATATGATAAGAATTGTGCAAGATGATTATTATGGGCAAGTGAGAAGGGCATCGTATATACTCACGTATTATATTCAACTTTGTTAACGAAACCTTATGATACTATTTTCCACAATAAAGTTGTTTCTTTACAGAGCAAAACAATTTTAACTGTCTATAAAGAATGAATAAAAGGAAAAGAATGGAAAACGTCAATAAAAAGTTTTTAATCGTGTAATTAATACTTCGCTCCAAACTCATTCATTAGACTGTCAATATCTTGGCAGTATACCAAATCCTTTTTCTGCTTGATAAATTTAACAAATTTGTTTTATGATGATAAAAGGATGTTTTAGACTTTAATAAACATTTTTTTTGAATGCAATCTATAAAAAAAATGTTTATTTAACAAAAAATTATTATTAAAAAAATATATACTTTGTGAGGAACCCAACGTCGTCTTGGTTACCGAGAATAGATTAGCGCAAATTTTTTTTTAATTATCTGAATATTTGTTTGTAATTTAAGTTGGTAAGTAAGTTAATAACAATATACTTACTTCCCAACTTTAATTAGACACATAATTGGTAAAAGAAATAGACGCTAATCTTTGAAATTAAAGATCTTTGAAATCTATTATGGTGCAAATAAGAAAATAAAAAAGTGATTCGTTACCTAATCCTACCTAAATGCATTATTATATTATTGTATATTAGCCAATCGTATTACAACCAACAAAAAAGATAATTATGTTCATATTAATACTTTTTTATTCACTTGATATTTGCGCCATAGTAGTTGAGTTTACTTAAGGAGTTCTTTTTTGATTAAAAGCAAAAGCCAAATCAAAAATTTTTTGATAGAATGCGTGCAATAGTGTTGATACTTTTGATCTCACTTGTTTATCTTGGAAGTGTTGAAAGTATTACGAGCTTAACTTGGCCAGGGTCAAAAAGAGAACAAAATTACAAAAGAGCGGCAGAAATTGTTGTTGATAAACTTGTATCAAAATTGATGGTAAGTATTTTATTTTTTAAATCAAACTCAAAAACCCAGATTGGATGCAACTAGTCAATTGGATAATGGAATTTTTTTGTATTTCATTTGTTGTAGCACTCCACCTTTTTAACTGAGTTTAATTAAACAAAATTTTCAAAACTTAAATATTAAAATTAGTGTTTAAATAAATATTTTAACTTAAATATTTATCATTATTTTTTTATCGTTTCTAGTCGTTTTTATGCTATTTTTACTATACTTTTATCAACTTTCAAAAAAAAAACATAAGATAAGTTATTTTGACCCAACTTATGTGTTTTTAGGATATGTTTTAGCGTTTAAAATATTTTTCTAGATAAGGAAAACTTAAAGAAACCCGAACTTTGATGTTTATAGCCAGCCACTCATGAAAATAATTTTTTTTTAGATTTTATAACTTAAAAGCTTAAATGAACTGTTCTAATTATAGTGAAAAATTATCTGTCAAAATGAACATATTTTTTTAAATCTTAGCTTTTTTTTTTTTTTTTTTTTTTTTTTGTGTTGTTATATATATATATATATATATATATATATATATATATATATATATATATATATATATATATATATATATATATTTCGCCGTTTGACAATAATTACAATAACAAAATTTTTGAGCAGCCGTGGCGCAGTGGTTAGAGTTCTGGCTTAGAACCCAGAGGTCCCAGGTTCGACGCCAGTTCCAGCCCAACAAGCGAGATTGGTACGGCAGGAGGCGTGAACTTCCCGCTAAATGCTCACCCGCGGTGCTCTATGATAAGACCGTAAGGACTTCTGGGAGCACCTAAATACATACAAAAAAAAAAAAAAAAAAAAATGAATAAATAAAAAAGTTTACATGACTGGAGCAAAAAGGAGACTATAGTTGTCTTATCACCAAGCCCCGTAATATATACCGCACATAGCATACCATTTAAAAACCGTGTAACATAATACAAAATCTTTTAAATATTAATTAAATTTTCTTAATAATTATGTTTTAAAGAAAGAAAGAAAGAAAAAAATAAATAAAAATATAAAAAGAATAAAAAAAGTTTTTTATTATTTTATCTTTCTATTTCTTTCTTTTTTAAATTTCTTTTGTTAAATTGAGAATAATTAAGAAAAAATTTTTTTTTTTTTTTTAAATAAATAAAAAAAAAAAAAAAAGAACATATAGATAACAAAAACAAAAAGATAGAAATTGAATGCACACATTACCGTTTTTTATCAAGTTTAAACGTAAATATTCTTATATTTGATAAAGATTTATTTTGAAAACATTTAATATATTGAGTTTACTAAAAAGTATTTTTGTATGGGAGAGTCGAACTTTATGCCAGCATGATTTTATTGCGTCGTGTTATATAGTTAAACGTTTTCGATTAGTTGAATAAAATAGCAGTTCTATTGAATAGAGTTCTTTTGAAGAGCTTTGTTCATTCAATATAACAATAGTGTGCTATTTAATTAAGCTGGAACATATTTTTTTAAATTACGAGCTGTAAAAATGTGATGACGACTTCATTACGATTAAAAAATCCCTAAAAAGAAATGGTCGAAATACTATTTTAAAAAATTTGGTTTTTTTTTTTAAATAACAAATAATAAAAATATTTCATTCGTATATTACTCTTCATATTTTGGTACACGCGGTTCAATGTTGGAATGTAAAAGAACAGCGAACAATTTTTAAAAAGACACTTGAAGAAAACATAACTAAATAATACTTTTTTTATCTCTATTTCTAAGTTTGTGTTTTTACCTTGTAAATTTATTTTACAGAGGGTGATTAATAAAATATTAATAATAATAATAATCATTTACTTTAATTTTCCAAAACAAATAAATTGATCTTTTTTTTTTATTTTTACATTAAATATTACATTAAAATGCTTTTAAGTGATTTATTTTTTCAATGTTACATTAAACTCGCGACATTATTGTCATTTAAATGAGCTCAATTTGATTCTAATAAAAAGGGAATTCTTAATGAAAAGTCTTTTTTTTTTTAATAAAACGAGTTTTTTGCAAATGAGATATTTTTGTTATTTTTTATATTTTTCCATATCGTTTTAATGAAATTTTTTTCACGAAAAATAACATATCTTTTGAACTTCTTGCGGTAACTACTTGAAATTTTCTGCATGCATTTACCAAGAGTACTGGTAGTGTATGAGTATTTTCAAATAACTTTTTTATCTATAAGCATATTTGTTGAGCTAGAAGTTCAGACAGATTTTTAAAAAGTGTAGTTGGTTTGAAGCATGACTTTTAGGAGAAAATAGTATATATTTTAAAAGAGAAACCTTGAAGAAATCAAGTTCTAAAGTTTTTTGGCAGTTCATTAAAACAAATTTACAGTGAACAAAAATTGCCGTCAAGCAGTTTTTAAACATTTGACGTTTTGAAACTGTTTAACGCTTGGCTTCTTTGCATACCTCGACGTTGTTAAGGACGGTTTTAACAAAATTTTTACGGAAAAAGTTATTATTTTAAAATCTCAGCTATATCGCTTATTTTTATAATATTTATTATAAAAAAATGTTGCGTTCAAAAAAAACATTACGAATAGTATTAAAGAAGACAACCAGTTAAATGTTTTTATAAACTTTTTTATAAAAACGTTTTATAACTCTCAGTTTTTATAAAAAAAATGCTTTTTTCATTAAATTGTAGAAAAAGCCTAATACTTTTGATTTACAATCAGTAAAATATTTTAAATTTTCAAAAACTATTTAAAATTGGTTTATAACAAAATTATTCGAATAAAATAATAGGAAAAAACATACAAACCAAAATATTTTCATAATAATTAACTTTTTGACATGTTCCTCGTTTATAATATTTAATATAAGTTACAAACACAAATATTGGAAAGTATGGCAAGTTAAAACTTTTACCACGTTGAGCCAAACAAACACAAACGTTTCATAAATCTTTTACCTCGTTATGCCAAACAAACGAACACGAACGTTTCATAAATTTTTTTCACATCATCTTATACAACCAAGAATATTCAAAGATTTCAATTTTCCTTAATTTTTGATATTTTTAATAACGGAATATATTTTAATAGAGGCTATTTTGATCAAATTTTTGGAATATTTTGTTTGGAACCTGGTAAAATATAATTTTACTATTCGACTTTTTAACGTCTTAAAAACTTGAATTGAATTAAAACCTTTAATTAGAAAAAAAAAAGATTAATAGCATATTTAATAATTTCATGATTGCTAATATATTCTATAATAGCAATCAAAGGTCAAAAGGTCAAATAAGATTATTTCTTAAAGCTTAGAACAAATCAAACTGGCTTAATGCTATTTTTTCTTAAAGCTTTGAACAAATATCAAACTGGCTTAACGCTAACAGCTTATCTTTAAACACCGATAAAACATTCATCATTAGTTACTTATCTTATGGCAATATTCTTGGGTTTGTTTGTACTACTTTGGGGCAGTACAAACAAACCCAAACTCGAATGTCTCTACAAACAACAGAATCATGCAGCAAGAATTATTCATTTTCAAAATCAGTTCACAAATGCCAAACCACTTCTAAGAAGCATGAGGGCTCTTAATTGCACATTTTAACATCTAGTGCAATTATCTGTCCGCTTTCTCTATGCTATCTTTCTAACTCGACTTCTTCTGACTTTCACTCTAACTTTCTTTGTTCTTTCTAAACTCAATTACTTTTGGTCAGCAAAGCAGGTAATGATACTCTTTAGTGAGCTGAACTTGTCTTTGCTGGTCTGTGTATGTGGTCTCCATATGGCATTTAGCCGGAGCAGAATAAACCACAATACTCTTGAGGGCCCCTAATATTTATGAAATAAACATACTCAAAGTCACACAATCGAACATTAACAATCGAACATTGTTCGAACATTAGTTCAAAAAAACTCCGAAGATTTTTGAAAATGTTTTTTCAAAACATCAAACTGATTCAATACAATTCCGTATATCAAAGCTTACAAGATTCTCCATTTTTTATTGTGGTCCAATGCTATGAAACCATTTTACAAGCCTGAGTCGTAAACATAGAGAAAATGATACGGCTCACAAAAATTCAAAAAGAACATAATTGAACTTATTGTCAATTAAAACTCTTTACTAGATTTTTCTAACAATACACTTTGATCTTTTTTTATTTATTAAAGATTACTGACGATAAGATTAATGACGATAAGACTTCAGATTCTCCGGTATAGTAACTCCTATATATGATGAAATGCATTTGTATTTTGTATTTTTAAATAATTTATAAGACGGAAATCACCTTAAATTGTAAATGGTTGCAGACAAAAATAAATAGAAAAAAATAAAAAAAAGTTTTCTCCTACAGTCTTAAAATTATTGTTATGGTTCATTTATGAGAAAAGTTTAATAGAAACTTATTTGCAATAAAACTTTGACACCAAAAATTTTTTTTCTGCGAAATAGCAATAGCACGTTATTTACTAACTTTGTGTTTCAACGTGAAAAGAGTTTTTTCTCACGGTCTTAGAATTAAGTTAACGCAGTGTGCTTTGAAGCGTTTCATTAAAAAGCACCAGTAATTTTTTAGACTTAACACAAACATCCGTATATAGTAAATTAACTACAATGCAACGATATTTAGCTGAAACTCTGTATATATATAGCTACAACCCTGTATATGTTGCTGCAACCCTGTCTATGTAGCTACAACCTTGTATATGTAGCTACAAATCTGTAGCTAATTAATAACCACATTCTATAAAAGCTACAATATTACTCAATTCGGTTCAACTTTTTCCTTTTTTTTGTTTTGTTAATTTGTAAGAGCTCGTTCTTTTGGAAATCAGTGACACCTAAAAATATCTGCAGTATTATTCTAATTTACTCCAACACGACTGCAAGCAACCACTATTAAGTTGGGAGTTACCAGAAAATAATCAATAAAGTTAAAATACAAGGAAACGGTTGATAGAAGACTTGAAAGGTTGTAGGTTTTATAATTCAGGAAAACATAAAGATGCGAAAGAACTTAAATGAACTGAAATGCGGCAAGAAAAACTAGACAAATCAAAGCTTTTAGAGCATGCAGGACAGATATAGTAAAAGGATGAAATTTTGCTGAATGACGATTCAACCAAAAATGACCTTTAGTTGATGGAACTAGAAATGATAGGTCATTTGAGCAGGGACCATGGTAGTATTTATATCTTACGATTGAGTGAACACCGCACAAGAGGTTTACACAAAATACAAACATGCAAATAGCAACTTACGTGTGAGTGAACATCGCGCTAAAGGTTCAGACAGAGCACAAACATCCTTTTATAGTAAATTAAAGGTGAGCTATCACAGTAACCAAGACAACTATAACTATATAAAAGATAAAATATAAAAAAAAAACATAAAAAATTAAAAAATATTACCATAAGCATGACAAATATTAAATATTGTCGATGATAGAAAGTTTTTCCAGTCTTTGCTTAGAAAACGAATTCTAGAACAATATCAGCTACAGCTTTGTCGTAAGGTTTTATAAAGAAAGTTCCATATTTTAGCTAAAAAACAATGATTTAAAAAGGAGCCCATGGATAAGAAAGAAAAGCTCTTTGTTGCAAAATTTTATTCAAAGACTCAGAATAATAATAAAAAAAAGTAATCACAATTAAATAATAGAAAAAAGGTCTCGAAAATAACAAATACTTTAAATATAACTAAATAATAACATTAGATAAGATTTTTACTAAATATTCATTTAGTTCTAATTTAAAATTATGTTACTTTTAATTAGCCAGGTATGTTACTTCTAACATCCATCACTATATCTTGATTAATAAAATATATAAAATTGGAAATTTACTTGATTAAAAGAAGATTTTTAAAAAAATTTTATTTAATTTTTTGTTTTATTATATTTTTGTATTGTTTATTTTATAAAGTTTTTTTATTGTGTATTTTATAGACGATGATAGATGACGTGGAGTTGTTAGATGAATGATACATCTAAACAGCAAATAGAAGAAATTGAAGTTAATTGAAGATTATAAATAATAATTGATGATATGAAAACTATTAAGGGAAATTAGAGTTTTAAGTTTTTTTTTGGTTTGAATAAACGAAAATTGTTTTTTTTTCGCAGTTTAATAGCGTACCGTTTTGGTGACTTCAAACTGTTTGTTTGTCTAAATATCAATTTTACAACCACTAGAGATTTTGAGAGTTTATTTTTTTTGTTCGAATATCAACACCATGATGTCTAACACAACTGAAAAAAAAATCAAATTTAAAACATAAACTTTACGTTATTGCAAATTAGGTACATTGTGAGGTCATTATAAAGCAAATATTGGCATTTACCTCATAGTTGTAAGCCATATATTGAATTAGGTATAAATCAAATATTTATCATATTTTGTATCAGATAAATGTTAGATGTGGATGTATGAATTTAAATATGTTTTAAATTCCTGCATCCACATTTAAGATTTACCTAATATAACATATGAAATATACAAACTTTAGACAAGCTAATTTACTTTTAGTTTTTCTAGGCAAAAGAGAAGTTATTATTACCTCTTTTTTTGACTTTTTTAACCATTCTTTTTTAACAAGTTGCCTGCAATCGTAAAAAAGATTCATTTTTTAAAATGTACCTTTGAAAAATAAATTTTTTTAAAGGTATTTATGAATGAGCGTTCTTTATTCTTTATTCAAATTTAGCTCATTGCTTGGACATTTTAAAGCCTTTTAAATTTTTTGTGAGGACTTTTACGTGAAATATAAAGAAGATAAGTGATCAGGTTACAGAGTTAAGTTATCAGTTTTTTAAATAGATAAACTATTTTGTTTTCTATAATTCTTTTGAATTTGCAAAAATTGTAAAAAAAAAAAAAAAAAAATAAGTTTTCAAAATTAATTTTTCTTCAAGTTAATTTTATAAGAAGCTACATTTGAAAGGATTACAAAATGTACGGGATTACAGGATGAACTGTTTAACTGGTTTCTTTTTACATTTATTTTAGATTTATAAGTATTTGCCACAAAATCTAACGAAAACCAAAGTTTTGTTTTCCATTTGACAATACCTTAATTTTGAAAAAAGCGGAGTTTTAGAATTTTATTATTTTATACTTTTTTGTTCATTACCGTAAAGTCGCATAAGTTCGGTCACCATGTAACTTCGGTCTTTTAAGGAAAAATATAAAAAGAGCAAGACTCAATTTTTGAAATTTTTACTCAAATAATATTTGTTATTACTTCGTAAATATGAATCTGTAAAAAAATTATTTTCAATCTGCTGAAATAATTCTTTTGCAAAACAACAATTTAAAAAAAGGCATACTATTAAAATCTAAAATAAGCAAATTGTTAAAATAAATGATCAAATTTAATCTAAGCAATGTTAAGAATCGCCAAATTTATTATAATTGCATAAAAAACTATTAATTTTTGAATATTCCGTATTTTTTTTGAAAATTAGTGTAATTTTGAAATACTCTTACTTTCGTCATTTATGGATAAATAGGAGACAATTAGCAGGAATGTTGTGAAAACATTGATATCTGAAAAATGTGACTTATACATAAATATAGTGCTACAAATGTAAAATTTACCGGTTAGTTTACCTGTTAATTTACCAGTAAATTTTGACATTTTTATAGTGGATACTCACTATTTTATTTGAATAACTTCAAAATTAACCTATTTTAAAATATAAATTAGGGGAAATGCGCCTACGATGGCATTCTTAACTTTAAAGCTTCATTATTCAGTATTCTGAAGACCAATAATAAAAGTTTTGATATGGATACATTCCTTGTTACATGAAGAAAACTAATGACCCTCGGAGTTTTCATCAGTTTTGTTTTTTTATAAATTATTCATATTTTAAAAAAAAAGCACAAGTATGCCATCGTAGGCAACCACTGCTCCTATGATGGCATAGGGGAAGATGGGACTGGTTAGGATCAAGGGTTACTAGATGATTTCATTTAACCTTAGAGTCTACCCTCAGAAAAGCCAGAAATTACACGGAAACATCCATTTCATGCTACACAGTGGTATTGTTAAGTTTCGCGCATGCACATAGGATATATTGCGTTTTATGTATTTTTAGGCCAAAAAAAAAACTTTTGGAGCTTCGCTTTCTTTTTACTTTTCTTAAAAATAAGTGTTTCTTATTAAAAAAAAAAAAGGTTTTTCTAACTCGTCAATATTGCAACACCCCCTAACTCTTCAGTATGCCATCATGGAAGAAGTCATCATTTTCATTAAAACAAGCTGTCTCGGCCTTGTTCAAAAGATAAAGTTAAAGTAAGTATGCCACTAAATGCAAAATACTTGGATATAAAAAGCATGAAAATTCCTTTTCTGCACAGTTAATAATAAAATTACAATCTTTAAGATTGTGATTTTATTATTAACTGTGAAGTTAATAAAAAAGGAAAGGAATAAAACTACAACAGCACATCCCAAAATTGATTTTTGTTGATTATAAAAACAATATTTGAGAACAAGGGACGTAATTTCACTAAAACTAATGTAAAGCCAGTATAGTCATGTAGGTCTGCAAGTTAATATATCTATGTCATCTATGGATTTACGTGAGAATGTATCTATGAGTAAGAGGATAGCAGTTATAACATTTGGCTTTAAAAGATCAACTTTTATCGACAAAAGAAACGAGAGGCATACTAAAGAAAATGGCAAACCAACTTTATTTGTAAAAGTTGAGCAACAACGTTGAGGACATTTTAGCAAAAATTTTAATCTTTATGAGTGATATTGGTTTTAGTTTAACTTGACTTGAAATACCGTGTATTGTTAATAAACACTTGGTTAAGTTAAATCAAATGTGTTTTAGTAAAGGTAAAGTTACACTTGCCTGGTTACACTTGCCTGGTATTACTCATTCGTTAGAAAAAAAAATTAAAAGGTTTCAGTTACAATACTTGATTGCTGTGATGCTTTTGAAACATTCTTGCCTGTTTATGTTTTATTCCAAGGCCAAAAGTAATAATATTGATGATAAATTTTAGATGTTTATTTTAAAAAGCATTTAAAACAGGTGTGCAAAGAATCTGGAAAGCTCCACATTTTATAAACTATTAGTTAAATTATTTGAATTTTTAGATATCCAAATGGCTTCTAACTTACGAAGGATCAAATGGTGATAGCTATAATGTCACGTAATCTGGCTGGATGGAAGGACCTGTTTTTGTTGGACGGTCTTTAAAAAAGACCGTCCAACAAATTTCACATTGCCGCAAGCTTGAAGATTTTAAAGCCCTTTTTCTATACAACCATGTCTTGCATTTAACGTTCAAATTAGTTCACTTAGCAAAAGAGGAGAGTAGTATTATTTTTAAGCAACATCTCACGTGCTACAGCCACTTGATGCACAACTGCTTGTGAGCATTTGAAAACATCAGTTTTAAATTCTTTACATGCTGCCTGCCCAAAGCTTCCAAATTAGAGTCAAAGTTATATGTTCCTAATAACAATACGCGTCTCATGGAAAGTTACATTATGACTTATGAAGAAGCTTTGATAGAACATGCAAACAAGCAAATAACCTTTCAAATAATCGCACAAAATAAGAAGAACAAAGTACAAGCCAAAAAGGTTTTGCATGAAAAAACAAAACAGTAGGCTAATTCAAAAAAATGTGAGCTTGTGACAGCTTGTGACTTTTTTTTTTAAGATAAAATTACAGCTTAGCAACAATTATTTATGCGTGCGAGTCCTATGACTATTGATTGAAAGATCTTGTTGTTCTACTTTGGTCAACAGTATGTACAAGAATTGCCAATAAACATACAAAGATTATTTAAAGCAAAATAGTATTTTTTTGTCAATTAAAAAAAAAATGTTTAATTAAGTTTAAATATATTTTAATTAACCAGTGGTGCACTATGCGTCGCTCTAATACAAAATGAGTAAATAGATTTATAAATAAAGAAACATTCAACATATTGAGCTGATTTTTTTACAAGGCAATTTTTGTTTATATCTCTATATTTAAAAGAAAAATATGCGGTTTTTCTAAAAAAAAAACAGTTTACTGTATTTTTTTTGGTTTATCCGGATTAATTCCTGACTAATCTGTAAAATTACATAAATCCGGATTTTTTTGTTTATTCAAAAAACAGTAAGCGCTGATATTTTATAGAATTTTACAAACTATATCATTAACACGATTTAATAATAAACAATATTATTGAATGTAAACTTATTAAAATTATAAGCTAATCTCGTATTGCGGTTTATCCTCCTCTAGCTGATTGCCATACGGAGGCAATTATGAGGAGAAATTACGGAAAATACGGAGAAATTATAGGGTTCGGAAATGTTTGTATGCGCAGATATTCGCCGATAAATTGTACGCATATATTTGTATAATTATGCGCATAATTTTTTTTTTGCAATTTCAATCATTAAATTGTTTTGACTAGATAGACAGACAAAATAAACGAATTTTAGTTCAACTTTTCATGAAATTTTTAATTAATGTGCTTACAGAACAAAAAATCATCAGTTTTAATAACTTTTAATTCCACTATTAAATCTCATTAATTAAAGCACTTTTATAAATAATAACTTTAATTTAATAATTATAAAAGTGCTTTAATTAAAGAGATCAGTAAGTAAAATAATGAAAAATTGAAAGATTTAAGAAACTCGTGAAAGATATCGAATATCCTTCTAACATCATTAGACTTGAAAAAGATGATACTCCATTATCTTTAGTGTACTATTATTTTGGTAAAATGAACAAAATATTTGCAAATGAGGGAAGTATTAAGGAAATGGTTATTAAGCGCTTTAAATTCCATATCACCTCAAATATGGGAATTGCCTATAAGAAGACACGGAAGTATGCTGCAGAAGAACTCTATTTTGGTGAGGATAAGACTGATATAATCAGTTCTATTTCAGAATTAGTCTCAATAACAAAGCTAACACCTGTTAAGTCAGTTGAAAGTGAAATGATTGAGTTTGTTGGAGAAATGACAATACTGACAGAAAAAAAAAGAGAATTTTCAAAACGAACGCAAATAATTATTGGAACATTGTTGATCATCAGAAATAACCAGCAGTTTTTGGAGTTGCAAAATTTATTGTTGAAGTGATTTGTTCGTCAGCAACAGCAGAGAGAACTTGGTAAATTTTTCGATTTATTCATTCACAATTCAGAAATTGCTTGACAAACGAATGCGTAAAAAACTATTTTTTATATAAACCAATAGTGGTTTAATCGATACAAACGACAAAAATGACTAAATTTTAGAGGAAGGAGCAGTTCTCTGCAATTTTGAGTGTGAAGAAGTTATAAATGAGCAAATGTAATACAAAAATAAAATAAAAAGTTTTGAGAAATAGAAATTCGTTTAAAAATCATGAAATTAATTTGAAATATTTACTAATAAAATCAAACGAAAAATTATTTCTTTTAACTTTAAGTCACCTGCATTTGATTTAAAAAACATTTTCTTCTATGTTTGACAATATTTAATTAATTTCACATACCATTCATCTGTTAAATTAGTATGCGCATCATATGCATACCCAGCAGGCACAATGACGTTGAAATAACGTTGAAACAACGTCGCAAACCGATCATATGCCACGTTGAAACAACGTTGAAATTTGGTTGAATTGGAAATAAAATCCGACGTCGAAAACTACGACGTTGAAACAACGTCGATGATTACGTCGTTTCAACGTTGAATTAACGTCTTATCGACTACATATCAACCATATTTCAACTTTGAATAGGTGATATATTCGATTAATACGTAGTTGATAAGACGTTAGAACAACGTTGAAACAACGTAAATTCAACGTTGATTTTTGTTTTTTATTTTAGTTAAATCCAATTAACTAAAAAATTATCTCAACTTTAATTGCAATAAAATGACACAATAAAAAAGCAATAACTTGCGCAGAGGATATTATATTTCAACGGACTTTATATACAATGCAAATAAAATAAAATGTTTGAAAAAAAAAGTTTTATTTATCAGTAATATATTTATCAATTTATCAATAATAACTATTATCAATAGTTCCAGAACAACTAGGAAAAAGTATGAATGTTATACATCGGGTGAATCGCCTTTTACGCGCCGATCACCACCATTTGATCTGTCGAGTGCGTATTTTAATAAAGTCATTATTCCTTTTCTTATTTCGGCAACTGTAGCAGTCACTTTAATTGACAAAACTCTCTCTATAAAAAAGTTATTGCCTGAGTAATTTGCATCAAATACATCAAAAAGTTAAAAATAAAATAGCATTAAAAAAACGAACTGTGATTTTTAAAAAATATATAATTTTACACTTAACTTACAAGTAAATACCTAATGTTTGTTCCTTTAAACTTCTCTTTACCTTTACCGCCAGCCATATTAAATTTTGATTATAAACCATTGGTCAACAACCTGCATTATACATTGTTATTATTATTATAGTTACATTAAAAATTGATAAACATGTCTTTTACAAAATACAAATTATTCTCAATGAAAAATTGCACAAACCGCAAAGGTTTCTTACCAAACCGTAATGCAAGTAAGAAAAAGAATTGATACAAGGAAAGAGTTTGGTCCAAGGACACCACCTTATAAACGCAAGAAAACACCAAGAGCGGACAGTGTAATCAGAAATATCTGCCTGGAAAAGAGAAAAAAAGCCACTAAGCTTATCCATGAAGCTGTAATTGTTGTGTCAGACCGGACCATTTGTAGAAAGCTAAAAGAAGAGGGATTGATGTCCAGCCAAAAAAGCCAAAAATTGACAGAAAAATTTAAAAATATTAAAAATAATGTCAAAAATCTTATATTTATGCAAGATGGTGCAACTTGCCACACAACAAAAACTGTTACGGCTTAGTTGATGTATTCCTGTAGCCAGACAACTCGCATGATCTTAACCCCATAGAAAACATTTGGGAAATAGTAAAGCAAGAAATTGGATAAAAAAAATCTTACTAATAAGCAAGATCTCTGGAAGAGATTATCAAGATCTGTCATAACAACCCAGAGTTGACAGAAACTATAAAAATAAATTGCAAGCATGCCATAATGCAATGAAACAGTTATTGCAAATAAAGGTGTTTTTGCAAAATATTTATACTTTATATATATTTTATATAATTTATCATAATAATCAATAAATATTCAAAACGTTCAACTTTATTTGTTTATTTTTATCAAACAACTTTATAAATAAAAGAAAAAACTTTAAATTGCACCATTATTGTATATATATATATATATATATATATATATATATATATATATATATATATATATATATATATATATATATATATATATATATATATATATATATATATATATATATATATATATATATATATATATATATATATAATATATTCATATAAGCATATGTATGTATATATACATACATATATATAAGTATGTTTATTTATGTACATATATATGTATGTATATATAGAGTAAAAAAAAAGATCAAGTATGCGTTACAAATCAACCTTTGTACTTTAAGGTTGTTCTTTAGCTCAAGGAAATACAAAAATAGAAAACAGTTACAAAAAAATTTATAATCAGACATAAAAAAAAAAAGATTTATTTTATGTCTGATTAGAATTCGTCAAATTTTAAAAAATATATGCTACACATATTTTCAACACAAGTTTAAAACAAACTATAATAAAAAGATTCAAAAGATTTTTTATTCAAAACTACTTTTAACAAACCTTTGCATCACATTTTTTTGTATTTGTCTTGATGGTTTTACCTTCAATTTTAGAAAGTTTGTTAACCTAAAGGTTTAAGAAAATAATTACACCACATTATTTTTATAGTACATTTATAAAAAGTTACAAGTAGATTAACTTAGGCTAAGTTATTAATAAATACTTTTTCAAAAAACAATAAAAAAACTGCAAAAAGTCATGGTTTGAAACAACCCATCACTTCTGACCTCACCCAAGAATCATTTAAACTGTTATCATAATCATTAAATTACTGCTGCAAGTTCATCCATAAAATTTCAGAACTATTTGTCATGATATTACTTTAATTACTGGAAAGAATTTTTACTAACATCTCTTTCTAACAATAAAGATATATCAGAAAGACAAAAGAACCAAACATTAATTAATTTCTATAAGCGTTGAAACACAAGAATAAAACATTTATAAAATAAAACATTCAAAAAATTAAATAAAATGTATTAATTTAGCAACCAATAAAATGTGTATATCACTGAAGCATAGAAAAAAATGTTCAGAATCTTTTCTTCCTAAATCAACTTGCAGACAGACAATTAATACCTATGTGGAGTATGCATAAAAACTGTTTTCTGTTTCTTTTTTTGCGTTACAGGAGTAGGTAGTTGCTTACTATTCTGTTGGTTATTATGTTTTCTCTTGCACAAGCATGGTAGTGGCTCCTATAAAAATTAATATCAAAATAAAACTAATAATACTTGAATTAAGTATCTTTTAAAATAGTTACCGTTTTCTGAATCTGATTTTATCTGAGTATCACTAGTAGTGGCAAATTCAAATTTATCACATAACTCATGATCTAAGAATATTCATTTAACTTAAAAATGTTTTAAATACATTATATAATAAAGAATATATAATAAAGAATATCTAAACACTGAAAACAACATATACAGAATATATATATATATATATATATATATATATATATATATATATATATATATATATATATATATATATATATATATATATATATATATATATATATATATATATATATATATATATATATATATATAGATATATATATATATATATAGATATAGATATAGATATAGATATAGATATAGATATATGGATACATATATATATATATATATATATATATATATATATATATATAATATATATATATATATATATATATATATATATATATATATATGTATATATATATATATATATATATATATATATATATATATATATATATATATATATATATATATATATATTGATATATATTATATAAATAAGAAAAACATATATAAGATATATTTTATATTTATATAATATATCAAGTAATCTCTTCTTGTAATCCCCACTCATGAAATAATACGGTCATAAAGAAATATCCATTTAATATTTACCTAACTAACTGCATCACAAGTTAAGCCATGTATTATTGTTAAATTTTCAAATTCAAAACCTTATAAAAAGGCAACAGATGGCCTAATTTATTAGCATGTGGGACTTTACTTGTTTTTATTGGGCTAATAAGTAACTTTTTAAGTCTTTACTTGTTATTTGTTATGCTAATAAAAAAAATTTTAAGTCACGCATGCGTATTTTAGTTCCCATATTGCAATTACGAACGGTCGAACTCGTAATATAGACGTTGAATTAACGTGGAATCAACGTCGATTTTATTTGATAGTTTTAAACAAATTTTTCAACGTTGATACAACGTTGATTTTTGGTTATACGACGTCGCGACTAAAAATCAACTGTAAATCAACGTCGAAATAACGTCGTGTGCCCACTGGGTATTATGCGTATAATTATGCTCATAATGGTATGCGCATATATTCGCCGATATGCGCATAAGTTCCGAACCCTAAGAAATTATAAACAAATCTGCTACCTTCTGATTCTTCGTTTCTTAATTTCTTACAAAGTTTCTCAACGTTCTAATAAATGTTTTTAATAACTTATGGCTAAGAGAATAGCCGTTTTTTGAAAAATTCAACGCAGAACAGCAATATAACATTTTAGTTCATGATTCTTTCTAGATTCTAGATTAATTACTAGTTAAAATTTATTAAATTATTTCTAAACTTTTTTTTAAAAACAAAAAACAACAAAACTTTGAATTGTTATTATAAACTATATTGAGATTTCTTTACATCAACAACAAAAAAAATTACAAAAATATTCTAACAAAAATAGTCAAAACTATTCACATTAGCATAATATCAAAAAAACACTTCATAAAGGTACATATCAAATGTCACAAACAAATATTTAGCTGTATTCCTAGTGTTTACTACCAAGAAAGTTAGACATGCATGACTAACTCGTGCAGTTTTGTTTTTCTTGTTTCTGGCTTCAATAGGGACTCTCAGACAAAGAACCTACCCGACGATAATTAAAATATCCAATAAAGGAAGCACCATGAATTCTTATTTTATGTACAAATTGTGACATAGATATTTTTTTTTAATGTTTTATTAGTAATGGTTGCAAATAGATATTCAGATTTTTGATTGAAAATTTATATCCGGTCTTGTCGTCATATCATTGAGTAAGTCTCGAAACAACTTATTTTTTCTGATTTAGGTGCTCTTTGTAGTACACTATAAATAATAAAAAAATACATTCAAGTTACGAAACAACAGCAGCAAAAATGTCAAACAAAAAAGTGTTTTTGTGAAACATAGTAAAAACAATTTGCATGTTTGTGTGTGTGTGTGTGTGTGTGTGTAAGTGTGCGCGTCTCTCTCTCTCTCTCTCTCTTTATATATATATATATATATATATATATATATATATATATATATATATATATATATATATATATATATATATATATATATATATATATAAAGGCCCATTTATTGCTCTTGGGCCTTGAGCCATAAGAGCAATTTTTTGTCATATTTGGTCCATAAGTATATATTCATACATTTTACCTGCGCCGCCACGAAAAACTGAAGTATAATATTTGTCACCAGGAAGTCGACTAACTGTCACATTTTATGTAAGTCTTGTCGACCATCAAAATGCATCGATTTAATTTTGCCAAAACTTTTGATTTTTGATTTTTGATTGAAAATTTATATCCGGTCTTGTCTTCATATCATTGAGTAAGTCTCGAAACAACTTATTTTTTCTGATTTAGGTGCTCTTTGTAGTACACTATAAATAATAAAAAAATACATTCAAGTTACGAAACAACAGCAGCAAAAATATCAAACAAAGAAGTGTTTTTGTGAAACATAGTAAAAACAATTTGCATGTTTGTGTGTGTGTGTGTGTGTGTGTGTGTAAGTGTGCGCGTCTCTCTCTCTCTCTCTCTTTATATATATATATATATATATATATATATATATATATGTATATATATATATATATATATATATATATATATATATATATATGTATATATATATATATATATATATATATATATATATATATATATATATATATATATATATATATATATATATATATATATATATATATATATATATATATATATATATATATATATATATATATATATTTAGAGGCCCATTTATTGCTCTTGGGCCTTGAGCCATAAGAGCAATTTTTTGTCATATTTGGTCCATAAGTATATATTCATACATTTTACCTGCGCCGCCACGAAAAACTGAAGTATAATATTTGTCACCAGGAAGTCGACTAACTGTCACATTTTATGTAAGTCTTGTCGACCATCAAAATGCATCGATTTAATTTTGCCAAAACTTTGGTTTAGTTTCATGCTCGTGTTTTGGTAGTGGAACCTTTTTTGTCAAAACGACTTTGATATTTAGTGGTTTTGTTTATATTTATTTTATTTCGTCACTTTCTTAACCAAAATATTTTTAAAACTTTGTACCTTTTAGAACAAAGTTTTAAAGGTTTGAAACTTTGTTCTAAAAAAGTTTTGATAAAAAACTTATTTATCACTGAATTACATTAAAAAAAAATTTCTTCAGCCATTCGATTGATTAAGTCTTCTTATATCATTAAAAAAATATATATATCTTTTTCAATAACATATATTTATATCTTATTCAATACATAAAGGAATCTCAGTTGCTTTTGAAACTCTTTTGTATTTCCTTTTTTGATTTTCTTTAGGAGTGCAAGATTTTTTTATAGTTTTCAAATAGCCAAGATTACATTTTGATCAATTGTAATTTAATTTAATTTTTTTGAGAATTACAATAAATAAAATTTACATGAATAAAATATAACTATTACTTTTTTTTTTAATGTCTCCTTTATTTATTTTCTGTAGTTTCTGTTTCCTTATTTCAGTCTTGTGTTTTATTCTATACATTATCTTTTTTTTAATCTTTACTTAGTAACATTACTGATAACGTTTTGTAAACGGTCTATCAATTTTCACAAGGACTTTTTTAATGTTTTTAGAAACTCGAAATTACAAAAAAAGTTCAATAATGGCTTCTTAATTACAGAAAAATAACATGCAATATTTTGATTAATAATAATTAACAATATATTCTACACCTTTCAAAAAGTAATTGAAAAGTTGTAATTAAGAAATCGCAAAATGTAATTGACTAACACAACATGTACTAACTTGTTCAATTTTTCAGCATGAAATTTTATGTAATAATGTATGTATTAATACATACAACCAAATAAGTTGAAAGAAAAATTGCGTTTTGTTTTCACCGAATGACAGAAGAAGAGTTGCTGAATGTGTTGTTGTGCGAGTTGACGATTGGTGAATCAGTGCAAGTTAACGATTGGGTGACCCTGGCACAAAATTTAGGGGTCAAATATAAGTTAGCTTTTCATTTAGTTCGCACTGGAAATTCAATTTTTATTGGAGGAGGTGGTTTTAAGCCAAAATAATTGAACCAAAAAAAAGACAATTCAATATTAGCGTCAGAACAACAACTGCCGCCAATTACATCAAAGACAGATTGTTTTCATTAAAAAAAGTGCACAAGGCACTTTCTACAAAAAAACAGTAATAAAAACAAACAAAAAAGAGCTGAACTTGTTAGAAACATAAACAAACAAATCACTAAATGGTCATCAGATATTGTTTGGTTGGTTGAAACAAATTTTAACCTTTTTTGTAGAAAAACGCAAGTAGGTGCCAAACAGGGAATAAAAGCTATAATGAAAATGCCTGCTTCATAAGGACCAAACATACATTTGATTGCATCTGTATCAACAACAAATGCTATCATGACTCGCATAGGATTTTTTAATGCAGATTCTTGTAACAAGTAAATGTTGATTATGCTTCACCGGCCGGTTACATTCGGAAATCTTTGGGAGGGTTTGGTCATTGTAACAGAAATGCTCCATGTCGCGCTCGTTTGGAAAAGATGTTTAAAATGTTTCCAGCTCATTTTTATCGTTTAGGACCCTACAGCCTAATGTTAAAGCCGGTGGAAACAATCTGGTCTAAAATTAAAAATAACGTTAAAAATGCGATTCGCATTTCATTTGTATTCGGTGCTGGGATTTTGGAACAACGAATACAGCATTTGGAAATAATTGCGACAAAAAATGCAATAATAGTAGATGATGATTGTTTACGTGCTGCTTAACATACTACGAAGCATTACGCAAAGATTTTAAATATGGAAGATGCCCGAGTTAGCGTCTAACTGAATATTACAATGATTTTTGATGACATTGTTTAAGTTCAATTTAAATCTTTATATTTTTTTGAAAATAAATTATTTGTGTTTTATTTATTGTTCATCTTATTTTTCAAACCAGTTTTTCACAAACAAAAAAAAATTCTAACTAATAACCGATAGAATTTTTCCAGTTACCTCCAAAACGCAAATGCCTTTTTTTTTATTGACAGTATATTATTATTTATTAAAAATCAACAAATATGGCCACCTTGGCCAAACTAGGAGCAAATCTTTAATTACAAGGTAAATTAAGGCAACAAAAATAAAAATACAAATGAGAATCTATATTACAAACTTTTTTTAATTCCAATTATTATGTTCTCTATTATATCTTACAATTTTTTATTTACAACTTTCATCTTCTAAATTACATCTTACAATTTCTTAATTACAACCTTCATGTTCTAAATTACATCTTATGATTCTTAATTACAACTTTCAAGTTCTCTATTACAACTTGAAAAGTTGTAGATAATTACTTAATGATAATTCAGCGTTTTCAATACTTTTACAACTTTGCATTTTTCAGTACTTTTTAATTCCCAATAAAAATTTTATATTAAATTTTACTCCCATTATGAGATTTTTACTTCCATAAAATATTTTGCGGCAAAATGTATTTTTTTAGAAACCAAACCATGTTGATTTTGTGAATACTTTTAAACGTTTTAATTATTGAGTTTTCTTGAAAAGCTGTAAAGAAGCGAGTATTTAAACAAAATATTGAAACCTTTATAATTTGTTAATGCAGTGGCATATATATCGTTAAAATTATCAAATGATAAAGTCAAAACTGAACCAATTATCAAAGATGTTGAATCAAGCGAAATATACGATAATATACAACATGGAAGCAGTGTAAATGTTTCAAATGAAAGAATAGCAAAATGTGCAACTTTTGATATGAAAAAATCATTTGCAGAAAAGTTTGTAATTGTTAGGAAACACAATGTTGCCGAAGGAAACATCAAACTAACTCTTTATCCTGAGGGAATCCTTAGAATTAAAGGAGACGGAGACAGATTTTTTAGACCAGTTTCTTTTATCATAACTGGAATTGAAAATGAACATATGCCAATTAAAAACATTTGGGTATTTGAATATTCAAATTCGAACGCATATTCGTAAAACTAAAATTCTTGAAGATAATTGAGATGATGGATGTACTTCATTTATGGAGGTAGATATCCAAGCATACAGCAAATATGGAGCAAAAACAAAATAGATGACTTATCCATGCAGTTTACGGCCTAATAAGTTGATTATTATATATTTCTAGACAACTCTACTGGAATTCACTTTGATGCTGTGATTAACAATTTTATGCGAAGTAGCGCAATAGGTGTTAAAACTTCTTCTTTTGAGGCGCAACTGTCAGCGCTGCGGGTTCAAATCCTTATTGGGGAGATTTTTAATTTTAATTTCAATGTTTTATTTCTAAGTAGTTTTTTTAATTTTATTTAGGTGAAACCCGAAAGAGAGGTCTTTATGATCTTATCACAGAGCACCGTAGATGAGCATTTAATATGAAGTTCACGCCAACTTCCTAACCGATGTCACAAAATTCGTCCAGAGGTGGGGTTTAAACCACGAATCCTTTGTTTCTTAAGGCAAGTGTGTTACCACTACGCCGCTAGGTTTGGGCAGATATTCTTTAAAACAAAAGAAAAGTTTTTTTATATTTATAAGGTTTATAAATTAGTTAAATTTCTATAAAAAAAATTATAAAGTTAAAATAACAAGAATTTTAAGTGAAATCATCAAAATAATTATAAAATTATGTTTAAATACGCGCGTGCAACTAAGAAAAAATTAATTGTACGCGCGTACAAATAAGAAAAAAATTTATCGTAAGCTGGTACAAATAATGCCTACTGTAAGAATATGTAAGTAGTTTTTCTTTGGGTGGACACACAACCCATAAAAAAATATTCAAGTTAAATCTATCGTACAAGTATGACATTATAACGTTTTCCTTTTGCTTATGCAAACCACTCCTTTAACAAATCATTTTTTTAATCTTTTAATATTTTTTTTAATTTTTATTGAATAAGTTCGGAAGAGCATTGCTTTGAATGGTTTAAAGTCTGTTGGTATTTAGCCATGTAATAGATATTTATTTAATGGTAATTCATGCGCTCCTACATTTGTGATTGAAGACTATTTATACCCTTCTTCGATATGCATCAATAATAGATCTTTTATCCAGTAAATATAAAAGAAATTGCAGAGATCTAATTTAATGAAATGGATGTGTCTAATGGCCAAATAAAACTACAATTAAATATGTTAGCTCTTATATCAATAATAAAAAAAGAATTTTGTGAAAAGAAACATAAAAGTTGCGGTAAATAAGAAAAAGTCAAAAAAATTAAAAAGTCAACATTTTAATTTATTTTATCAGAAGCACCTAAGGGTGAATGTGGAGAAACTCAGCACTGACTAGGATCAAAAATAAGACATAAGTCGAGTAGAGAAGGTAAATGACTGGGTTGT